CGTATAGTAGCATGTACAGTCAGGTTAAGGCAGCAGGTTTAGTGGTCTTTTGGCGTCTCCCTGTGGTCCTGTTTGGTATCACAGCTTAATTGGTGCTAATTTATATTTAAAATGCTCTAAATAACTTTCTTTCTTTCTTTCGGCATTATATACATACATTGGGAATTATGAAATTGCATAAAAGGGTCTCACAGAGTGTCTCACAATCAAAACAGACCAGCATTTGCATGCACTAAATTTGGTATTTGTTCAAAGGTTACATGCAGTTCGTAGGATTGATTGTATGTGTGAAATATGATGTACGCTCATGTATTTCTCTTTGTAAAGCATAATACGTTTTGTTACACCTCTGCGGTTTCGCGCACTCTGACCTTTGTACGTAGCCTATTTGCAAATCGCTTTCTGTTTGTTTGCGAGTCAACTTTCCTTTGCAAAGCAGATCAAGTTTGTTTGCAAAAGAAATTGCCTAGGGCCTGGGGCTTTGAGGCGGAGCCTCCACAACACCAGTCAAGACGGGGAGCAAAATACTAGCCTCACTGTTCATTCATAATGCAGGTGTGTGAGCTGTCGTCTTCTATTTTGGAGTGATTGCAATGTATTCTAAATATAAACTTGTTCTGTCGATCAGCGTCATTTCTGGACAGATTTATTTGGTTTATTACAAGTTTAAAAGAGCGCGAGCACCATTGACTCGCCCAGACGCGACGCTTTGAATTTGTTCAAATTGTGCTGATGATTACTCCTCTAACATAAAACTTACTTTGATTTTCAATTAACTAGAAGCGTCTCTTTCACTTACACTTGATTTGTATATATAGTGCATATTTAATGTAGCAATTCAATACATAATATCATATATATTAATAATAAGACACTATCTCTAGTTAGTATTGATTAAATTGGAGGGGGAAATCCTGCCCATACCCAGTGTTACGATTACTATTCTCAGATCGCAACAAAAGCCAGGGAGACACCACACACAACCACTGCTTAATACAATACATTTATTTACAAAGTAAAATAAACATGTAGTGTAGTCAGTGTAAACGAAAGTCAGTATGTCAGGAAGTATCTGTAAGGTATACCAATGACATCAGTCCAAGCAAACATCAATAACAAAACTCAAAACCAAACGTCCGATTTAGGGAGAGATGAATCAAGGCGGAAACTTCTCCAGTGCAACGGCGAACTCCCATAACCTCTACATCCCGTGAGTTCTCTGGCAGACTCATGCACCAATGCCAACAACAAACAACTATTCCTCTCTCCTCTCATTGTTCCTGCAAGTCCCTTTTAAGACCAGTTGATTTAGCCCAGGTGCAGCACCACGTCATCCAATCACCTGCAGACAGCCAATCACCTGTGATTTGGGAATAAACACAGAGTAACTCACTAAGACGTCACGAGAAAAAAATTATAAAAGCACAGATATTAATTTACTGAAGTGGTGTTCAGGAACTGTACATAAACTACTGAAAATATTACTGCAAAATAATAATAATAATAATAATAATATCACGGCTATAATAACATCCTCAACAAACAAAAAAAAGAGATTACTTTAGATAAAGTTTTAATTAATCTGTACAGACAGTACCAGTCAAAAGTTTAGACACATTACTGTTTTTAATGTTTTTGAAATAAGTCTCTTATGCTCATGAAGCCTACATTTATTTGATCAAATATACAGAAAAAAACAGTAATATTGTGAAATAGAAAAGAAAAAAGAAAGAACAGCATTAATTTAAAATAGAAATCTTTTGTAACAATACCGTTCAAAAGTTTGCAATTCAGTGGGTCAGTATTTTATTTTAATTTTTTAAAGAAATTGATACTTTATTTATAAGGATGTGTAAAAATGACTAAAAAGTTATAGTAAAGACTTGCATTGCTATAAAAGATTTCTATTACAAAAATAAATGCTGTTATTTTCTTTTTTTACTTTTAATCATCAAAAATCCTGTATCACAGTTTATCAAATAAATATTAAGCAGCACAGCTGTTTCTAACATTGATAATGAAGCATATTAATGATTTCTGAAGGTGACAAATAAGACTGGATTATTGATGACTCACAGAAATATCTATTTTAAGGTATGGTAAAAATAGAAAACCATTAAAACATTTTTTAACAATTTTAAATAAAATAATAATTTCACAATATTATAGTTCTTTCTGTATTTCTGATCAAATAAATGCAGACTTGATCATAAGTGACTTCTTTCAAAAACATTAAAAATAGTAATGTGTCCATAATTTCGACCGGTACTGTATAAGTAAAAATACACAAATTTTAAAATGAAATGTATAAATAAAAAGGTTAGGAGTCATATTTGTTTCAAGTGCTTTTTTGGGTGGGGAGCCTCCAAAATTAATTTTGCCTAGGGCCTCCAAATGTCTAGAACCGCACCTGTTCTTGGGTATATATTTTTGTAATAAAAATAAGCTTCTGTTTCATAAGCTTGGTGCTGATAACAACTTAACATTATTTACCTTAGCCTACCTTTGGGGTCTTTGCTATTATATATTATTATGCCTCAATTAGCTAATTGTTGTTTTAGATGTACAAATGGTTTGCTGCTGTGTTTAATAATCTGTTGTTAAAATAACATTCTGTTCCGTAAATGCATTATTTAGCTACTTTTCAATACACCACATTAAGTATGCCACTTAGTACTGTAAGACTTTGAATGTTAAAGTGCAAATTAAAGTAGTTCACTTCAAAATTCAAAATTTAACACAAAAGAAGATATTTTGAAAAATGTTGATCTCCGAACAGTTGATGGGCACCATTGACTTCCATAGTATTTTTTTTTCCTACTATGGAAGGCAATGGTGCCCATCAACTGTTCGGTTACCAACATTTTTCAAAATATCTTATTTTGTGTTTAACAGAAGAAAGAAACTCATACAGGTTTGGAACAAGTGGAGGTTGAGTAAATGATGACAGAATTTTCATTCTGAAAGTGAACTACTCCTTGAACACCTGACCACTCTTGTGGGTTTCCTACTGTTACAATTAAAAATCATAGAAGGGTAAAAACATGGCAGGCAGACATTGGTATGATGTAAGCAACACAACTACAACAAATAAGATTGATAATGGGTGTGTTAGATTTATAGTGTGCGAATAATCAAGCATTGACAATCAATTGTATTGGCGGCACCGAGGGGCCCCCAAATATAATTCTGCTTAGGGCCCATAAAGGCTTGGGCCGGCCCTGCTGGTTCAATTGGCTGAACACAAATATGCCATCAGGAGGGGTAATGAAGAATATGCAATGGCAAAACCTAATCCTTTAATCCTTAGAATACAAGTTATTGATCATGTGAATATTACTATTAGAAAAGGAAAGAGAACTTAACCAAAGAGAGACATTTTGGATTTATAAATCAAAGGCTAATATGTATCCAGGACTGAACGAGGACTTTACTCCTTTTTTATTATTTATCTCCTGTGCTGAGTTTGTTGTTTGCTCTCCCTGAGAAACGCTTGAGCCGAAACGCGTTGGAGAGTGTTTAGATGTTTTAGAGGTAGCCATCTGATAATAAAGGCTTTTTAGATCTGAAAGAGTACCATGGTCATGCTAAAGTTTGCTTTGATGGACTGTTATAAACCCTAGACCAGAGAGCACCTTGACTCATTTTTTCCCAGAGATGCACTCTCTACTGTTGGACTTTGCTTGAAGATCATTTGATCTGTTCTAAAGCATCTGAAGGCTGGTGCCTGATCAGGTAATATTGTGTGTGTGTGTGTATTGCATTTTTCTTTTTCAGCACTTTGAGGGCTTTTGTATTATAAATAAACTCATTCTAAAATGCACAAAACATTGGTTTCACCTTCAAGTTCTTAGATTTGTGTATCTAAAAATGTTCCCAGCAGAAGGTTGTTGTTAACCAGGAAGTCATCTTTGTTATTATTTAAAATATAAGTCTATAGATAATGCCCTTCACAGTTAAGTTTCTAAGGTGAGGACACTTTTCGGTACAGCCAGTCAAAAAACAGATGATCCGTGGTTTCAATATAATCACAAAATATACATATTAGAATCAAATCCAAAGTCATAAATATTCACTGGATGGATACATCCCACTTAAAATGTTACAATTTCTTTAATATTGGGAGATAAAGGAAATGTTTGTTGGTTGGAAATATTTGTAAATGGTATATTTTGAGAAATTATGTGAAATATAGTAGTTTCTGTATGGGATTAGAATATTTCTAAGAATTTTGTTTGAAAGATGACTTTCTTTGAAATCACAACCATCAGTTAAATGTGGTGGGAGATGTGGGGTCATGGGGATAGAATGAGAGAATATTTCTTTAATTAGACAATAGAGTTAGGGATGGCTTTAGTAATAGATTTCAGGCTGGGGCACTGTACTCAAAAGAGGGTGGCCGCAAAATGAGCTTGATGAGAAAAAAAACCCATTGTAGAATCTATAATACACTGTTAAGAAGTGCTAACCTGCAAATGTTATCTTAGGGAGCTATTTCTACCTGATCTAACCCTTAAATTTCATTGTGTCACTGTAACCTAATGTATAGGTTAATTAGGTTAATATTTTGGGGTTGAATAAAATCAAATAAATTAGATGTTACCACATGAGAAGTTGTACATATTCAATGAAGTGTTTGGGCAGGTGGACAACATTTGTTTGGCCGTTTTCAAACATATTTTTTGGTTAACAAACAAACCTAGTGTGCATGTAGGCTATTGCATCCAATCAGTCAAACATAGCCTAAGGATTTTTTAACATATAGCCTAAGGAATTATAAAAAGCGACGACTCTCACAACGTAAAATAGTCCTACATCTGGAGGGAGATGACACGAAGGCTCTACTATCAATTTCACTCTGAAATCAAAGCACAAAACCTAATCGAAACTGAATATGGGAATACACGATCCTGTCCTGCATCAGGACTTTTTTTAAACGCTGTAGACTGGTAGCCTATCCTTGAAAGCTGCTGGGTTTTATTAGTTTAGACTGTGCCGAGTTCAGTAGGCTACTTCACGAAAGACTTCCTCGTTCTGTCTGAAGTTTAAGTGTGGCACGAAGGTAAGCGCATTATAGTTGTGGTTATTTTTTTTAGTGCCGGATTATCGCACATTATTTTATCTATATATCAATGAATGACACAGTTTTTACTGTAGTGGTGTGTGTATGAATGAGTGTGAAATACCTGCTAGTTGCTTTTCCCGATCACTTATATTGGGCACTTTTTGCATTTAAAGTGGCTTATTCTGACTGTTGACATTGAAAATGATGCATGTGTTTTTTCGAGGGTATCGGCTAATTTCTTCCTCATCTAACCCTTAGATTTCATTTTATCACTGTAACCTAATGTACAGGTTAATATTTTGGGTTGAATAAAATCAAATAAATAAGATGTTACCACATGATAAATTGTACATATTCAATGAAGAAAAACACTTAAAGGGACTTAAAGGCTTTACTCAAATGAAAAGACTTTCATCATCCCTAATTTCTTGATTGCCGTTTTGACAGTGTCTGCCTGCATATTTTAGTCCTATTTGGTCATTCTCTCTAATGTATTTGCCCCTTATTAGATCCGTTTACCTGGGAATGTCTATTTATATTGTCGTCATTATTTTGTTTTAATTAGTTAAAAATGGTCTTTATCAAACTTGATTGACATGTCAATAACATTAAATCGCATTATTTTGACAGTTAATGTTCTGGGCGTTTTTTTTTCTTCTTCTTTTTGGAGTGGGCGGTTTTTGGTGAGCTTTTGGGCTGGAATTGGTCCATCCAATCTGGCAGCACTGTTCACTTCTGAAAATATGTTTACCTTTTTATTAAATATTCCATTAAACCTGCTGAGATACAAGCAGCGTCAACTAAAATTCTCAGTTCCACGCGTGTGTCCGGGAAACGAATGAATATTCATGTTTGCTCTGCCCACTGAAACAGACAATCTCAGAAACCGAAAACACCTGCTTATATACAGGTGAGCACAGAGCCACGAGTTACATCTGAGACTCAGAGAGGAGAGACACAGACCGCACACACGACCTTTAGACAAGTGTTTATTACTACACACTTATCAGGTCAGATATCTAGGCATGGGAGAAACGAACCTTTTCGAAGAAGCTTCGAATCAACTGAACCAATGGACTACTTGCACGACTACTTCCAAATTCTAGTTTATTTAGTTTTTTTATTAAGCAATTAGTCATATAATAGTCATATGTTAGAATATATAGAGCAGGTGCATGAAATAATATAAGGGACTTAAAGGCTTTACTCAAATGAAAAGACTTTCATCATCCTCATGACAGCAGCCTACATGCGGGATTTGTCTCATATCTAAAGGCTACAACACACACCAGTTTTTGTTCTGTGCTGAGTTACACAATCGAAACCTCTTATTATAACATATGGAGTGTATACACGATGTAAATAATAGATTGATCGCGCAGTGTAGAGAGATTTATTGGTCATAACAGAACTTTGTGAGATCGCGATGAACAAAGAGTGACAGCTTTTTAAGGGAGCGCTCTTTGTGAGCTTTCTAGGCTATAATCCATTCAAAATTTATAACTTTTGTTTTTCGTCCACACACACTTTGCAAAGTTTCGGGAATGACATCCCCATACTTATGCGGAATTCACTCACAAACTAGCAGTGATTGACATAGTGACAACTATAACAATGGATGGAACGATATTAAACCGGGTCTGGTTGATACGTTTTTATTGTATAACTATACACACAAACAACAAAATACAAGTGCACTAAATAAAATAATTTAATAAATGCATATTTACAATAGGCACTTAAATAAGTATTAAGTAATATAATAAATAACTAGGGAAGGCTGACTATAATCAGTTTGCTTCCATTTAGTTGGATAAGCCTACTCGTCACCTGAATTAAAAAAGCTCTTCTTGTCTTCAATGATGCAAGGACAAAGTTTGAGTGTGTACACGCAATATCCGAGCGAGAGCAGAGCCAATTCATAAGAGAACACTGTATATTTTAAAGAGCATGTCCAGTTTTGTACAAGAGCAAAAGAAATCTGCTTGTGAGTGGAGAGATTCGTGATCGCGCATTAAATGGATGCGCTATCGCGTTACATCACTGCGCTCTCGACATTTATCATAAAGATAACGCTATAGAAAGTATACAGAAGAGAAGAAAGCTGTCTGAGGAAGCTTCCTATTGCCCATGCCAGGATCCGTCACTGATGCAGTTAGAAATTTAATAAAACAAGCCAGTCGCAAGACATCTGGTAGGGGGGCACCTGGGGTGGCCAACCAGATTTCTGTCATGACAACTCTCGGAGGGATTGGCATGGTAATTAATGTACATGACAATGTTAATGTATTTGATCTTGGCGGAATAGATCTTCTATGGATATATGTTGCAGTCTGATAGATAAGACCCCAGCACCCACCTGAGCAAATATCATAATTTAGTCATTTGATAACTGCTGTTACTTTCTCCACTTCATCAGTCCCAACGTGACAGCTTGTTAATTCATGTTCGTGCAATGATGAGACGGACAAAGATTGCTGATGCATCCCTTTTTACTCTCTCGTGCAGGTAAAAGTTGTCAAAGTTACAGTGCACAAAAACCCCTGGGTGGACTGACCTGAATGAACTGAAATAAAAGCAGAATATAAATGTTCTTTCTCCGTTTTCTGAATTACACAGCACAGCAAGAGCACACGTTGCACGAGCACATTTCTCCGAACTACACTACCCATAATGCATTTCACTCGGAACTGACTATTACAGCCGTAGATGGTGATCTTCAGCATCTCCCGCAACACTGTCATTTATATGATTGCGATAAGCGCGTGCTTCTGACGCTGCGTGCAGCTGAAATAAACCACACACTCATCACAATGAAAACATCGACCTTAGAAATAACGAACGTGAACGCTGGGATAATCGCCGATGTATATGGCGAACCCCCGTTGAAATGCATACACAAAAATGCTTATTTCATTGAACTTGTTTCATGTCTGTTACTTTCGGCGTGTCCTCAAAGCGATTACATATTACCTAAACTGCGTTTGCTTCAGCTGTGTAAACACAGATGCTAAATGCTGCTGCTAATATGATTAATATTCGCTCCTGCATACAATGCAAACTGCTAACATGACACTTAAACTTGATTATGGTTGCTCATTTTTTAATTCAATTAGGCAGACCACGCAATACACTCAGCGATATGGATTCGAAGAGCAATCACTTATCTTAGATGTTGATTTCACTGTTCTGAAGCAAGCTGCAACTGCTACGCAAGCACTATTCATATATTTGAATGTTGAACAGAGAGCACATTGGCTACCGATACAGGAGAGAACCAATCAGCAGTGCCATGTGATGATGTAAATAGGTCAGATTGAGTTAGACCTATCGGACTGCGCCATCTAGAGTTTCATGCCAGAACTCTGTATTTCAGTGGGGGCCGGTGCCAGCCCTGGCCACCATGTAGACACACCCCTGGTGCCCAACTAATTATTATTATTATTCTTTCAGCTCCGCTGCTGCTTTGAGCTGGAACAAATAGTGGACGCTGTTCTTTGAGCTGGCTCTGAGGAGTTTTGCAACACACATTTGTTGTGCAACATGGTTTTTGGCAATTCATGCTACCAAAACTATTTTGCATGACTAATTACTCTATTCTTGTCAGCCCATCAGGAAAGGCATTGAGCGGAACCACTGTGTGAATTAGTTCACGTGCAAGAGTAATTTTCTTATGGCAAGCTTTGTGCTACCAAGCAGTGATTTGCATGACTAATTACTCTGTTCTTGTCAGCTCTGCTGTTGCATTGAGCTGGAACTTTTGTGTGAATGTGGGCAACTTCTAAGTGTGTTTGCCTCTCTGTCAGCTGTTCCGCCACTTGTTGCATTTCAGACTGATTTTGACCATTCTCAGCGCCTTAGCTTTTGGAGATTGAGAAGATAGCCCTAGGCTAAGGCTAAGGGTGCAGGGTCTATGTTGGCATCCAAGCTCCCACTTCTGCGGTTGGCACTGGCTTGTCTAATTGAGTGATCTATTTCCTGTTTTAGAGGTTTTTCCCACAACTCAGATGTCTCTGGGCCCCATGCGGGAGGAGTAGTCTGTCGTATGGTTACACCATCCAGCTTCTACCATGACCACCCATTTTGGAAGACATGCTGTCACTTATAGTGTTACCCTGGTTTGCGTTCGATTTGGACTTGCGTCACCTAAATCTTGTGCTTGGAGTAAGCAAATTCAAGATGCTGATGTAGAACTCCATCTTGTCTCTATCTGAACTGGAGATTGGTTCATGACCATCGATCTAAGAATACGTACTTCTACATCCAGATCGTTAAGAGGCACAGGAAGTTACTCAGGCTTTCTTTTGGAACAAATCTTGCCAATACTGTGTTCTTCCATTCGGACTGGCTCTGACTCCTCAAACGCAAAGTAAATGGACGTGTCTCTGGCCCCGTTGCGGCTCCAGGGTGTCTGTATTTTGAATTACCTGGATGATTGGCTGATATCTCAATCACAGGGTTCAGCAGTAGCTCATTGAGATTTCGTACTCTATAATTGAAGAGCCTAGGATTGCGCGTAAACCTTCATAAGAGTGTGTTGCTGCTAGTCAACAAACTACCTTTCTAGGCATGGACTTGGATTCTTGCACGATGCAGGCACGTCAGTCTCCCACACGTTCAATCATTACAAACCTGTCTGATCTAGTTCAGAACAGGACATTCCTCCACATAGGTTTATGCCGCAGGTTGATGGGTCTTACAGCAGCAGCATCCCCTGTGATTCAGTTAAGCCTGCTCCACATGAGACCATTCCAGTGATGGGTCAAGTGTCAAGGGATCTCTCGCCTCACTGCATTGTGGACAATTGTTTGGAAATGCTGGCAGTGGTTCTGGCACTCAAACGGTTCTCACCCTATTTGAGGGTTATCACATACTAGCCAGGACAGACAACATACTGTGGTCTTGTACCTGAATCGCCAAGGAGGACTACGTTCTCACCCCCTGTGCAGCCTGGCGAGGTATGTTGTTTCTTTTGGACGTAGACCAAGGGCACTACACCCTAAAGGGTTGAGCCTCTAATGCAGAGGTTTGGACGAGCAGATGTGGATTTATTTGCTTCGAGCATGACTATGCATTGCCCGCTCTGTTTCTCCCTGTCTCCTCCATTGTCTGGGAATGGATGCTCTGGCTCCCTGTTCTGGCCCACTCAAATATGGTTCTCTGATCTGGTCAGTCTGCTGGTTGGTCCTCCTTAGGAGGTTCCCCTCAGGCCCGATCTGCTACTCAGGCCCATTGTATGATTTGGCTCCCCGTTTGATTTATGAACTGTGGGTGGGCCCCCTGAGTGGAGCATGTTAATGTGTTCTAGGTTCTCAGCTGAGATTGACGGTTTAGGCCTTTCTGGCCTGCACGGATTCCTTCACAGGATTTTCTATTCTTCATTAGAGTCAGTGCCAGAAAAGTTTTTGACTTTTAAGACAGGCCTTTTGGTGGCCCTATTCTCTCTTAGAAAAGACGGGACCTGCAGACTCTTCAATCAGCCCTTCTTGCATGGACTTTGCCCAGGGCTCGTTAAGGTCTTAGAGGCTTTTTCCCCTCCTAACTTTGGGATTGGGAGTGATTTATGACCTCTTGGCTTTTGCCCCATGAGGGAATTGAAGATCTATGTAGACCAGGGGTGTCAAACGCAATTCCTTCTGGTTAAGGTCTTAGAGGCTTTGTCCCCTCCTAACTTTGGGATTGGGAGTGATTTATGACCTCTTGGCTTTTGCCCCATGAGGGAATTGAAGATCTATGTAGACCAGGGGTGTCAAACGCAATTCCTTGAGGGCCGGAGCCCTGCAGAGTTTAGATTCAACACTAATTAAACACAGCTGACCCAACTAGTCAAGTCCTTCAGGCTTATTTGAAAACTACATGGCCTGTGTGTTGGAGCAGGGTTGGAAAAAAACTCTGCTGGGCTTCAGCCCTTCAGGAATTGAGTTTGATACCCCTGATGTAGACCGTGCAGTCCAGTGGTATATATTTACCTATTGTTGTTTTGTAATCTGATGAAATAGCGCGCTGCACTCTGATATGGAGCATAAGTGACTTATTCTTGGGGCGGTGCTATGCGCTACTGGTCAATAACTCAACTCAACTTTATTGTCATTCTTCCACATACACAGTATACAGAAGAGCGAAATGTCGTTTCTGATGGACCAAGGTGCAAGACATTGACAAAACAAGTATACGCACGTGTCCATGACAACAGGAATTAAACATAAGAGCACATTATACATAACAAGAGCAATAACCATGAGGTAGGAATGTAAAAATTGTAGTAATGTAAGAAATGTTAGAAGTGTAAGAATAAAGTGCTAGTGCATTATTGAGGTATATAATGTTAATATAATGTGCATTTGCACAATTTTTTTTAGCACACATTGGGTGGCTGAGTGCGGATGTATGTAAACTGACCATTGTGCAGTTGTGCAAGAGTGTCTAAAGTGCAAGTGCAGATGTGTGCAAATGTTCATTGGAGTTTTTCTGTAGGCATGGGATGGGAAGGCAGTTTATAATGGGAGTAAGATGGTGGGTGTATCAGCTTATTCAGGATTCTGACAGCCTGAGGGAAAAAGCTGTTGCAGAACCTTGTTGTGTGGGTCCTGATACTGCGTAGTCTCCTGCCTGATGGCAGAGGGTCAAACAGATGGTGGGAGGGGTGAGATGAATCCTTCACAATGGCAGAAGCTCTGCGTACACAGCGTGCCTGAAAGATGTCCTGGATAGTGAGGACAGCTGAGAGGATCATAGGGGTCTCCCTCCCCTCTATGCGCTGTAGGGTCTTGCGTTCTGCTGTTTTGCAGTTTCTAAACCACACAGTGATGCAGCTTGCCAGGACGCTCTCCACAGTTCCTCTGTAGAAGGTGGTGAGAATGGGTGGTGGGAGGCTGGCTCTCTTCAGCTTCCGCAGGAAGTGAAGATATTGTTGTGCCTTCACAGCAGAGTTGGTGTTCCCACGCAAAGGTGTTCCCACGCTATCGCAGCATCTTGTTCCCTATTCAGGGAACCAAGGTTACATACGTAACCGATATGTTCTGTAGAGTTTGGGAAATTCTGTACACAGTAATCATCAGAATATCTCTTCTCCTGTCTCTGAAAATATCCGGATTTTGAAATCATCCCGTGGACTCTCATTTTAATAGAAGTTTAAGTCAACCAAATGATAACAGCACATTGAAAATATACATAACCGGAAATAACTAAGCTGTATTATTTCAAAACAGAAGTGCAAAGGTACAAGGTTCAGTGCAAAGCCTCGAAACACCACATGCTTGTCCATAGTTATGAGGTCTATCCCATCAGGTGCTGTTGCTTTACTGAAGCATACTCATTCTTTGTCAAATAAGTTTCTCTTAATTTGGTTGATACTTTTGTAGCTTAATTGTGTTTTGCTTCTCCATGTAAAAATAATAATAGGATAGTCTGCTCATTATTTCAGCAGAATATTATTACTCTGCCAGCTGTGACTGCTTATTGGAATAATGCAGTGGGTAACATTCTACTGGAAAAAAATGTGGATGCTTCCTCATACTTGTTTATTAACTAATAAAGTAAAGGACATTTCTTACAAAACAATTCATAAGTTCTGTCCTGCAAATCATTACATGAAAAAATTATAAAGTGATATTTCCTCCAGTTGCTCTTTTTGAGATGACTGTTGAAACTGTTGTTCATCTCTTTTGGAACTGTCCGTTTACAAAGAAATTTTGGCAAGACATTTTAGGTTTCATTAGGAGTAAAATTTATAATGAATGTGTCCTGTTTTGGAAGGAAATGATGCTGGGTTTTTAGTATGAACAGTCTAAAAGAAAACAGTTTATGTAGTGAATCTGATTTTGCTTCTTGCAAAATTCCACATTCACAGATGCAAACATTCAAACTTCATTGAAGAATTTGAGCAATACCTTTCATTGATCCAATTGTCTAAGAACAAAAAAAATCTTTAAAAAATCTTTATCTGTTTGTAACTCTTTTCCTATCTTTAATGACGTAAGTCTCAATGTTTTTTTTTTTAGTTTGTAATGTATTAAACACCCCCTTTTTCTTTTATTTATTTATTTATTTTATTTTTATTTTATTTTGTTGTCATTGTCTATCATTTTGATTTGTTGGTGGTTAAATTACTTTGTATACTGTCTTTGAGCATTAATAAAACAAAAAAAATTAAAAAAAAAAACACCACACTCCTTCTGGTTAAAATGGTGGAAATGCAACGAAAACTAGACCAAAACATGCAAATTGCCTTTACAAACCCATTGCAAATGTTTTGTATTCATATAATATATTAAATGCAATTCACATCATCAAATGCCATTACTTATTAAGTGTCTGTATAATGTGTTTTTTTTATTGATTTGCAGGGCTTGTTTTGTTTGTTTTATGGAAAGCTTGTCTAAACAGGCAAATGAAAGACTATTAACCTGATAGCACACGGAGACATCTATTTGATGTCTGCATTTACATCCGCAAGATGTATTTTTTTGTGTGTTTGCTCATCTGCAATACGTCTATAGGATGTTTCCTATCAGATATCAAATAGACGTTTATTAGATGACCTGACCTGTGACCGTTATGTTTAAAGTACTCTTTACAGAAATCAGTGACCATTTGACACAAGATTAACATCAAAATGCGATTGCTCTGCCTGTTCCTGCTGGTGGCTGGTAGTTCCTGCTGGTGGTTTACCGATGAGGACGACAAGAAGGAAAGTGTCAAGAAGGAAAGTGTCAAGGAGGAAAGATACAAGAAGGAAATTGTTGGGACAGTGATTGGAATAGACCTCGGGACGACCTACTCATGGTGAGAATTTGAGAATTTGGATTCGTATACAGGGTTCACAGGATCATTACAGTTTCCAAAATGGATTAAATTCATTATTTTCCTCAAAATTCTACAAAAATACACCATAAGGACATTGAGAAAGAAGTTTGTTTGAAATCTTTGCAAATTTATTACAAATAAAAAACAAAATGAAAAACGTATTTATTTAGTGTTTTTTATGTGTATTTATTTTTTTTCGTAGTAATGCTCAGCATTGAAACATTTCTGTATTATCTATAATTAACATATGAGTTTGTGCTTATACATATTACTCCATACAGTGTTGGAGTGTTCAAGAACGGCCGTGTCGAGATCATCGCCAATGACCAGGGAAACCGCATCACTCCGTCATACGTGGCCTTCACCACTGAAGGTGAGCGACTCATCGGAGACGCTGCGAAGAACCAGCTGACCTCCAATCCTGAGAACACAGTCTTTGACGCCAAGAGGATGATCGGCCGCACATGGGGTGACTCGTCTGTGCAGCAGGACATTAAATACTTCCCCTTTAAGGTAAACGCATCTGCCAGCCTGTGTTTGAACTGTATTTGAACTAAACGTCTCTTTGTCTTCAATGGGGACACTAAACAACTGCTGTGTCTCTTCCAGGTTATTGAGAAGAAGAACAAGCCTCACATCCAGCTGGACATCGGATCAGGTCAGATGAAGACTTTCACCCCTGAGGAAATCTCTGCTATGGTTCTGACTAGAATGAAGGAAACTGCGGAGGCTTACCTGGGAGAGAGGGTAAAGCTTTGTCTCCAACACCAAGATAAAATGTAATCTCTGTTGCACTGCAGTAAAACTCAACATCTGATCTGTTTCTGCTCTTCTAAAGGTCATACATGCTGTGGTCACTGTGCCCGCTTATTTCAATGACGCCCAGCGCCAGGCCACCAAAGATGCAGGAACCATCGCCGGCCTGATCGTCATGAGGATCATCAATGAGCCGTAAATATAGAATTACTTCTGCTTTGTTGTAAAATGGGTCGTTTTCTTCTAGGCGTTTGTTTAAATCAACATCAGTGTTATTTTAGTATGATTGATATGCTATTATAGCTTTTATTAATAATTTGATATAGATTTAATTTTTATATTATATTCTTTTAATTTATTTTAAAATATGTATTTAAATATAAATATATATAAAATATATAAATATTAATAAATATGTATATTAAATATGTTATTTTTTATTAATTGTTTGTTATTTTAGTCAACTTAGAAATGTTGCCATAAATATATATATATATATGTATGTATGTATGTATGTATGTATGTATATATATATATA